CAGATTGGCACATAAACACTGTAATATGTGCATTTAATCATCATCATGAGAAGGGCCATGGAAGAAGTTTATAAGAACTTATTTTAATTCTTCAGAATGCATCAGAAGTCAGCACTCAGTCTACAAGCCAGCAAAATGTCTTGCTACTTCTCAAGAAACTCTGTCCTTAGTAAAATATGTTCACTTTGGTTATTTCCTACAACCAGTTCAGTCAAGTGCTTACTATTGTTGTTTAATAACATTCTTAAAGTGTGCAGACAAAATTTCAATTCCATATGTGATTGTTTTGATCCCACATGTGAGTGTTTTTACCTGTATTTCTTTTATTCAGGGCTATGTTGTGAAATTCGTTCTTATCTACAACTTTTATGGAATGCTAATCACATTCAAATGTTGATAGTGAGACACATACGCGTGAGCACGTGAGAACAATTGAGGTGATCACATTATTGATATTTTATACACACCTCAATAGAAAGTATAGATGATGATCCTGATTTATTTGCCTGAAATAATCTGAATTGTATTGAAAATTTTTTCCTTTATTAATAATGACCTTTAAGGTCTGTTTTAGTCAAAAGTCAAATTTATTATGGAGCTTTGCTTATAAAATCCAGCATCATCTGTTTCCTTGGGCTCATTAACAAAATGAACTGTTAACAGGTCCAAATAGTCACAATGCCATTTTTTAACACAATTTCCTTTTTCAATTTTGAAGGAATAAGTGGGAGCTTATTTTACTTTGAAAAGAATATCTTCATTGTATTGGTAATTATCACTTATAATTGCTTTAAACAAAATGACTATTTGGCAGAAAGTGCCTACACATTCTATGCACGGTTTCCACAATCGAGAAACAGTTGCAATTTGGCAAACTTACCAATGGAAAAAGTGAAATTACCTGTGGAAACACTTCCCAACATCCATGAATTAGGAAGTGAACCCTAAAAATATTTAACATATTAAAAAAACTAATGGGAATGTAAAAATGCAAATATGTGTTTGGGTCAGGACCTTTGCAAAAAGCACAAGATCTTTGTGAAAAACAAGAGTGATATTTATCACACACTATGGTTTGTGATAAAAATCTGGGAAATGTTCATTTTTAAAGATAAAATTGATTTGTGGTTATGTAAGTTAATTCTTTCAACACCGAACTCACTTTAAATGATCCAAGAATCGACGCAATTTTAAAACATTTTTCTCAATGAACTGTCCCTAACCCTAACACGTATTCCCTATAAAGAAAAAGTATTCTTTTAATAAGATACATACTTCGTAAAATTGTAAATACATATACTGTCTGAATGTTTTTGTATAGCATGTAAGTTATACATTTTATCTTCTGTAAGGAATTAAGTGTAGAAAGTGTAGAAAATGTTTCAAGGAATTAGCAAGCATTTAATTTCTTATTAAATTAAAATAATTTAATTTTTAAAATATTTTGTATCATTGTTTCAAAATACTGGAAAACCCCTTAAAACATTTTGTTCCTTGTTACAATAGTTATTTCTGTGTTATAATAGATGTGTGTGGATGGCTTAATGCAGATGAACTTTTTAAGTGGCTACCTAGATTTTTGTTGTT